TATATATATATATATATATATATATATATATAGTTTCATTTTTTCAAGCTGCCCTTTTAAATTTTGTTCACGTCTCCTTGACTTCATCCTTTCTTCAGGATGAAGAAAAAGTATTTTCTCTAGCTATTCTATGATTAGAGCAAGTTTCAGAGTCTCTTCTGATATCTACTTTATCCCTTCTTTCCTGTCTTTCTAATGACTTTTTGCTTTCTTCATGAATGATCATTTTAATATCCCCCACAACACATCAGGTTTTCTGTCATTAATGTTCAATGTGTCAAATCTGTTCTTGAGATGTTCTTAATATTCAGTTGAGATAGACTCAAGGTTATGTTTTGGCGCCTGTGGATTTGTTCTCATTTTCTCCAGCTTTATCCTGAACTTACATTTGAGCAATTGATGACCTGTTCCAGTCAACTCTGGTCTGCTGATCTAGAAGCTCTCCAGCATCTCTACCCACAGACGTAGTTGATTTGATTTCTGTGTGTTCCATATGAAGAGATGCCTTCTGTGTAAGTCTACGTGTAGAGATGCCTTTTGTGTTGTTGGGAAAAAAAGGGTATTTGCAGGAAGGACGGGGTTAAAAAGAGGAGCCGATACCAAGGGCTCAAATAGAATGTCAATGTTTAGAAAATATTGATGGCACATATGTACAAATATGCTTGATGCAATCGATGTATGGGTTGTTATAAAAGCTGTAAGAGCCCCCAATAAAATGATCTTTAAACAAAAAGAAAAGAAAGAAAGTATTTTCTATGAACAAGTTATTCATCGCGCAAAGTTCTCTCATGGGATCTCCAGCTACCTTTCTATCTTCAAGTCCTTATTTTGCAATGCCTCTTCCTTCCTCTTTGTTTCCAACTTTGGCATTCCAATCGATAATTATCAATGCACCTTGATTGCATGTACGATCAATTTCAAACTGAAATTGTTGGCAGAATTCTTTAATTTCTTCATCACTAACTTTTGTGGTTGGTGTAAAAATGTGATTAATAGTTGTATTGATTGGATTTCCTTGAAGGTGGATAGGCATAACTCTGTCACAGACTGCAATATATTTCATGATGGATTTTGCAATGTCCTCTCTGACAATGAATACCTTGCCATTCCTCTTGATTGTATTATTTCTGGCATAGTAAATCATATGATATTTAAAATGACCAATACCAGTCCATTCTAGCTCACGAATGCCTAAGCTAGGGATCCTTAGATGTCTCACTTCCAATTTTCCTAGATTCATATTTCACACCTTCCATGTTCTGGTCATGAGCAAATTTCTGCAGCTGTTTCTCCAAAACTTGAGTCGTACCCCAACAGCAAATGAAGATCCCACAGGCTCCACTTGCCCAGGTTTTACCCAACTCACATCACGATGGGCCACTCCCCTTTGACAAATTGGCGGCTGCTCAGTCTCATTTCAAGCGCCCTCTGATCTGAGGGGCTCATTCTCTGGAACCCTCTTTGACAAAGTTCTGCTTCCATTCATTAAACCTTCAGTATCTGACAATGTTTAAAGCTATACATAAGGTTTGCAGAGGCTATTTCCTCCTAAGTGGGAGCCCATTCCTCTTTTATTGTCTGTTCTTCGTCTGGAAGCTCTACTGAAACCTGTCCATTTTGGGTGGCCCGGTTGGCATAGCTTCCAGCATCATGACAACCCCAAAGCCACCACGGTATGACCAATGGACAGACAAGGGGTGGAAGTGACATATCTAGACCAAAAAATCCACAGAGATGGAAAGTAATTGAATGGTACCAGACAGAAAATAAGTTAATGGTACCAGATGGAAAGTAAGTGAATGGTACCAGTGAATGGTACCAGAGTAAGTGAATGGTACCAGATGGTAAGTGACATATCTAGGCAAAGGAAATTCACAGAGGCGGAAAGTAAGTGAATGGTATTAGAGGGAGGACAATGAGGAGTGATTGGTAATGGATAAAAGATTTCTTTCTGGAGTGATGAAAATGTTCTGGAATTAGTGGTGATGGTTACACAACCTTTTCAAGATGCTAAAAGTACTGAATTGTATACTTTCAACTGGTGGATTTTATGGTGTATACATTTTGTATCTATTAAAAATTAATTTTACTAAAATATTCAGCCATTGGAGCACTTCTGAATGAGTTCCAACTTGACTGCCACGAACTTCTATGTGATCAAGTCAGTAACTGTTCTAGTTCTTCATTTCCTTGTTTGTTAAATAGGAATCAACATAAATGCCATTCTCAGAATTTTGTGATGTTGTAATGAATGATTAGTGTAGAAAACAGAAGTAGATATAGCTGGAGGTGGGGTGAGCTCAAAACAATTGCTAGGGTCTTACCCAGATGTTTATCATATGGCTAGGAAACATAATTTTTAAAACTTTAACCAAATTCTAAACAACTTTCAGAATAGTTATTTTGAGCTGCGCGTTTGGTCTGGGGTGTAGGATTCCCATTATGACCCTTCACATTTTCATCTCACTTATCTTTGTTCCATTTGGCTCTTCCCCCGACAGAGACTTACTTAGTCTATGACTAAGTTCATATTCTTTCCGAGCTTCATTTTCTTATATGAGGAGATTTCAGAAAATGAGCAGCTCATAGTAATCCTATAGGACAGGGTAGAACTGCCCTTGTGAGTTTCTGACCCCATAACTCTCTGGGAGTAAAAGCCTTGTCTTTGTCCCTTGGAGGGGCTGGTGATTTCCAGCTCCTGCCATTGTTAGTCTGACTCATAACTACTACGTCATCAGGGCTCCCAGAAAACCTGCCTAGCATCCATGAAATATATATCACCCCATCTATGTGTGCATCTTAAAAACCATTTCGACAGAGGAGACCTGGCCTCGGCTGGGATCAGTTTTCCAAGATGTGAAGAGAGGAATAGCATTCAGTTGCTGCCATACGAAATTGTGTTCCGGTCCCCCCCAAAAAACCAACAGATATTTATATCAGAGCGATACGGAAACCTTACTGGAAATCCCAGTCAAGATTTAGGGAGAGGGGCATGTATGGCTCAGAGAAGGCAATTATATTTCTGTTGGTAGGAAAATAGGGAGGGGCAAGATCCTATTGGGGAGAAAATGCTTAACAATACTAATTGATAGGCCCCTATGGGGAGAAATGCCTGGTTCTGTGTTCCTAATTGGACACTTTTGATCTAGTTTCTATGCAACCCTTGGCGACACAGGCCATGTGCTATAGACGACTCGGACTTTAGACTGTTCTTTCGCAGCACACAAATCCTTCATAGGTGGCACCAGGTGGAAACCTCACTAATCGAACTGGTCTTTTCTCAAATTAAGGCTGAAACTCCCCAGTGTGAGAAGAAGCAGATGACTGCTATTCTAAGGACCTAGAACTGGCAGACATTGGACTTGGCTTTGAATCTCTTGCCTTGAGGGTGTACCATGAATGGTGGCCCACAATTACCATATACTACTTTAATGCCGACCTTGTTTCATTATGACGTGTATTAATCTGGTAGGTGTGGCCCTGCTGTTGTGACGGAAGATTATTAAAAGTTTTGTCCTGCCACCAACCCCTATTGTTTGTGTAAACAGTGTCCAGTCACTTCAGAGTTTAAATCTGTACAAGTCACCAATTCACAGCTGGCCTGCACTCTTATCATTTCCTTTTCTCAACAGGGTTTTAAATTCTATACCACTGGCCAAATTAGTGACACTGAGAGTTGGGCTTCGACTTGCAAGGTCCACAGTTTGAAACCTCAGGAGTAAGACAGGGCTTTCTACTCCCATAAACAGTTAGTCTCAGAAACACACACTATTGAGTCAGCCTAGACTCAATGAGAGTGAGTTTATCAACAGAATTATGTTATGCCCGAGGAGGGTGATTGATAATATTCTCTAAGACAAAATGACAATAATATCTCTAAGGTGAAGCAGTGATAGATAGATAGATAGATAGATAGATAGATAGATAGATAGATAGATAGATAGATATAGCATTAACAGATGAATGGATTTTCGGTCCCACTCAATTCTAGCCCAAATGTAAGAACAATTGGTTCTTATGACATGGCCCTGCTTGATGCTTACCTTCATGAAGAGCTCACTGAAGGTATGAGAGCTATAGCAAAGGTGGTGAAGAACTTGAATGCTGCCTTGATATCACATGGAATAGGGTCTAGGGTCTTAACGGCTTGTCTTCAAACAAGCTGCCACCTAAGTGAGGCATTAATTCGGTCCCCATAGAAGAAACAAACCAGCCTGAGTGATCCAAGGACTGTAAAACTAAAATCCAAATCTGAAGGAGGGGCCAGTATCAGAGCTTAAATTGTGAGCACTAGTTTGCAAGTGGCTATAGATGACAGTGGAAGCCTAAAATCCATTTGCAGTGTCCACACCTGGATTAAGCCGCTGATGAATCAATCCGCTCTGATCATAGTTGAGGGATGTGAAGCCTTGTTATCAGACAGCATTGTACAGTCGATTATGGCAGATGTAGTCGGGGAAGTTCTTATCATTTGATCTTCCTTCTGACATATTTAAAAGTTGTCTCCGTTTTTTAAAAAGTGAAGGGGAATTATACCTGGATTTAGTTTCTAGTGATTTCCCCCTGACCATAGGCCAGGGATGTGACTAGCTTTGCTATCATGCAGAATGCACTGGAAAATGGATTGTTGCAGATACATCAGGCTAACATTTAACACCTTATCATTTGATCTCTCTTTTGATCCACTTTAAATTTGTTCTAGTTTTTAAATAAATTTTTAAATCTTTTTATTAGGGGTTCATACAACTCTTATCACAATCCATACATACATCAATTGTGTAAATCACACTTGTACATTCATCGCCATTTTAAAATAATTTTAAGCTTCCTTTTCTATTGAGATTTTTCTGCTTTACTTTGTTATTGTTGTTAGCTTGTTTGTTTGTTTTCTTTTTTAAATGATTTTCTGTATATGAAAGCCAGGGTAGGTAAGTCTATATAGACAAGAACTGGATTAGTGATTTCTTGGGGATATAGCAGGAGAGAGTGAGGGAAAATGGGGAGCTCATAGCCAATGTCACAAGAAGGAAGAAAATGTTCGAAAATGTATTGTGTTGATGGTTGTTCAACTTTTCTTAATATAATTGAGCTATTGGATTGTATAGTTTGTGAATTACATGCCAATAAAATTGTCAAAAAAATTTAGATAAAATCAAATGTAAAAAACTAAGGGTTATGAAGTGTGTTAAGTACAAGACCATGGAGAAATCATTGGAGTCCTTCATGACCAACATTTCTCTTGCTACTTGCTTACATCCAGGGATAGTCACTTCAGAAATGTTAAGAATAGCATGTTTCCATTCCTCACAAACATCAGCATCAGAAGGGATCATGTATGAAAGAAAATCAACTCTGTTTCAGAGTTTTGCTCCTAGAGCCTGAGTTTCTGGTTTCAAACCCTGTGCTCTACACTTGAAGCTTTGTAGTGTTGGGCAAGTTTCTTAACTAGTCTATGCAGTACTTTCCTCATTGGTAATATAAGGGTAATCACAGTATGTACATGATAGGATCACAGTATGTACCTGATGGAGGGTTGTTGTAAGGAATAAAATAAACTTAATGAATTTTAGCTGTGGTTGCTTGTTTTAAAATCTAGGGGAAGATACATAAATATGTTTTGTTTTTCTTATTTCTAGATCTGGATGTGTGGAGGCCAACTCTTTATTATACCTTGCTCTCGAGTAGGGCATATCAGTAGGATGTATTTCACAGATCATTTTTTAATGGTAAAATCCATGATATACAACAATCTAAGACTTGTGCATGTTTGGCTGGATGAATATAAGGTAGGAAACATCCCTTATTTGGAAAGATGATTGAGCGTACAGTCATAATTCTGAAGACACCTTTTACTTTTTCAGATCCTAATTCTTCCCTTTGTTTCCTTAAATTAACAGCATCCTTGCAACCCCACATGCACCCAGTCCCAGGCCCTCATCCAAATTAATCCATTCTATGTGTCAAAACTTGCATCTTTTTATCTTAATTTCCAGAGAAATTCAAGTTTTTCAGAAGTAAGTCCATCAACTCACCAGAAGTTTATTGCAGGGAGACCTATATCTGCTTATCTTGCAATTGCCCCTGAAAACATCAGCCTCTCTCGATCTCTGTGCCCAAGTGTAATTCTTTTTGTATATCCCTCCACTATATCTTTTTTCCCCCACCAAAAGTCAAAGATTTCGATATTGAAGTATGCCTTCCCGTTTTCTCATGATCCCCAAGAACTCCCCTGGGCAGGACTTACAGGGTTCCTTTGTTTTTAATGCAGTTTCGGCTCCATTTTAATTAGAAAGTAGTCCATCCAAGAGCCAGGCCCACACATATGAACAGGAACTCCAAGAAGGACTTCCGGACAAGTGAACAAAAAGTATAAAACTCGCTCTGATAGTGTATGTCTTCTTGCTCTTCTATCTTCTTAATTTAGATTTTTTTAAGTTGTAAGAGCAATAATATTTTATTTCTTTAGTAATCAGGAAATGTGGGCAAAAACCTCAAGACTTTTTACATAGCCACTTGGCAAACAACAGGAACGTCACTCCACTGCCGTGGAAGTGCCAATCATCACAACCACACGGTCCAGCAGTTTTACTCTGAACACACCACACAGTGCACACTTAGAGGCACAAAAATGTTCACAGACAGTGTTGTTTGTGTGAACTAATGCTGAATACAATCCAAACGCTCATTAACAGAAGGAGAGATGAACCTTGACGCCTTCACTCAGTAGTACAGCCATGAAATGAACCAACTGCAGATAGCCATGCAACTGCATAGGTCATTAAAAAAAAACCCTTTTTATTATGACTTGGGTAAAAATGTACAGAGCGGATTGGTTTTCCATACAGCAGTTCATACACATTTTTATGGGTGACATTGATGACAAGCCCTACAGGGTAACAGCTCTCTTCCCTCTTCCGCTCTGTTTACTGACTGTTTCACCCGTCCTTCTTTCTAATCCCTTCTGAGCTTTGTCCCTGGGCAAATGCAGCTCTTTGATCTCGTGTATTTGATTGTTCTGAGGAATGTGCACCTCCTTGTGGCATTGTTAACCTTATTGGCCTAACATTTGTCAGAAAGTGGAACCACAAGGGAAGTTTTTATAGGGCTGAAGAATGGCTAAGGACCCTCATTTGAGAGGTTCCACCTGTCTCTTTCAGACTAGTAAACCTGAGTTTTAAAAATTATTATTTCGAGTTTTCTTCCAAATTTTTTTCCTACCCTATCCAGGACCTACTGTTGTGCTCCCTTTCAGAGCGGGCAGCAGGGGTACCTGGCCATCAGCCCAGTTCTCCTTGTCTCAGGATCATGGAGGCTGGGATTCACTTGGTCCATCAGACCTAATTTAGACTAATTGTTTTCTGGGTTCTTTAATTTTCTTCCACGTTCTTTGCTCCAAATCAGGAAAGACCAACATTTACACCTTAGCTTGGCCACTCTTACGTGTCTAAGACCCTAGATGTAGAGCACTGTCTGTGTGCACTTGATGTTATTGTGATAGGTGCTGTCGGGTCCGTTCTGGCTCAGAGCAACCCTATGTCCATGAAACACCATCTGGTCCCTGCACCATTCTCAAAACTGTTCTGATGTTTGAGGCCCTTGTTGCAGCCACTGTGCCAATTCATCTCATCAAAGACCGTCCTCTTTTCCACCCCCTCCACTTAGAACTGTCACCATCCTTTCTTCTAAGGAGCATCCTGGCTGTACTTGTTTTAAGGCAGGTTTGTAGCTCTTTGGGAAGTCCATGGTACTTTCGATATTCATCACCAGCACCATAACGCAAAAGCATCGATTGTTTGTTAGTCTTCTTTATTTCATGTCCAAATTTCACATGTATATGCCTCGATCGAAAATATCATGGCTTAGGTCAGGCACAGTTCAGTCCTCAAAGTAACATCCTTGCTCTTCAACACTTTCAAAAAGGTCTTGTGCAGCAGTTTTGTCCAATGCAATGCATCGTTTGAGTTTTTGACTGCTGCTTCCATGAGCATTGATTGTGGATCTAAGCAAGATAGAATTATTGACGATATCAATTTTTTTCTCCATTTGTCATGATGTTAGGATTTGTTTTCTTTTCATTGACTTGGAATCCATATTGGAGATTGCTAGGGCTTCAAGTCTCCCTCCCCTTATGACAAACATTCGACCTTGGTTCAGATCTCTTTCCTTAAGGGAGCACCATGAATGGTGGCCCCAAACTACCATACACTCCTATCTTAATGCCCTCTATTCTTTCCAGGCACACAACATCCTTCATAGGCCACATCTGTATAGGACATGTATGTATATGCCTCTAAAATTATGCTGATTGATTTCCTTTTTATTTCTACTTAGTTGGGTGGTTTTTTTTAATAACTAGGAATGGATATCAGATTTTTAATCAATGCCTTTTCTGTGTCCATTAATATGAACATGTGATTCTTGCCTTAGTTTCATTTATGTAGTTTATTAGTTTGATTGTTTTTCTAATATCGAACCACCTTTAGATCCTGGTATGAATCCCATTGAGTCACAATGTATTATTTTTCTGGTACACTGTCAGATACTCTTGTTAGGATTATGTTGAGAATGCTTTATCTCCTTACATGAGAGATATTGGGCTATAATTTCTTTTTAGTGATATCTTTGTTTCGTTTGGGCACCAAGATTAAGTGGAGCCTTGGTTTTTGCCAATGCTGTCAGGGCAGGTTGGACTTCCTCCTTCAGTACCATCAGTTCTTGATTATATGCTACCTCTGGAAATGGTTGACCACCAATCAAGTCTCCTCATTCTTTAAAGAGATGGAAAAACTATTAGGAAGTTTACATGGAAAGAAAAGAAACCTCAGATAAGAAAAGCACTACTAACGGGGAAGAACGAAGTCAGAGGCAACACACTGCTCCGTCTCAAAACCTGCACTATGCCACGGAGTCAAGCCAGGCTGGTGCTGGTACAGTGTCACACACAGACCCAGTGAGAGAGAACTGACGGTCTAGAAGTAAATGCATCCACCTGTGCAGAGCCGATATTTGACCAAGGGCCCAAACCCCCCGCATGGGGAAGAGATATTCTCTTTAACAAATGGTCCTGGCAAAACTGGATATCCATTTGTAAAAAGACAAAACACCACCCACAACTCTCATCATACACAGAAACTCACTCTCCACGGACCAAGACACTCCTCTCCGAGGGAGAAGGAACCTAGACTGGAAATTCAAGTCAAGATCGGGGAGGAGGCACATATCTCGGAAAAGGCCAATATATTTTCGTTTGTAGGAACACAGGGAGCAGCAACCTCCCACAGGGGAAAAATACTTCACAATACTCTGTGGAGAGCCCAAGGGGAGAGTATGCCTGTCATTGTTCCTAATTAGACACGTTGACCCAGTTTCTAGGCAGCCCTTGGGGACCCAGGTCTTGTGGTAGAGACTCCTGGGACTTTAGACTCTGTTCTTTCAAGGCACACCACATTCTTCTTACCATGGTGAACTGTGCCGCGATGAACAGGGGGAGCAGACATCTGTTAGTGCTATGGCTCTTATTTCTATGGCTGGGCTGTGTGGTGTTTCCACTGCCCATTGTTTTAGCTATCACCAGATCACTGTCCACAGTGGTTGTACATATTTACAAGCCCACCAGTGGTGTGGAAGAGTTGCAATTTCCGGACACCCTCTCCAGCATGTGTTGTACTCTGTTTTTTTAACTGGGCTATCACTGTGGCTGGAGATGACATCTCATTCCAAGACTGCAAATCTCTCCAGGAACAGAAAGCCTCACCTCTCTCCATCAGAGCAGCTGGCTTGTGGGCTGCTGGCCTTGCCGGTCGCCGCCCGGTGCATGACGCCACCAAGCATTCTGGAAAGCAAAAAGAAAGGGAAAGGGGTACGATCAGCTAGGGGAGCCAGGAATTCTGGAATGCTGGACATGTGTGACTACTTCACCTAGTCAGGGTTGCATTTGTATTGATTTTTTTCAGCCTAAGTTGCACATTTATGTTTTATATACTTTCATTGTTTATTTTATTTTCTGATTTAAAAATATATTTGAAAAAGTAAAATAAGCTCATTTGAAAAACTCTTACAGTAGTGTAGACGCGAAAATGAAAAGTTTGTAGTACCCCTTTCGGAGTAATCACTTGTGTTTTCTTAACACACGTATCTCTACACAAACATATCCTTTTCCTTTACTTAACAATAATCTTACTCTGCTATCTTCAGTTATTTGTATATTTTGGACATCTTTCAAATCAGAAAACATGTATCATTCTTTAAATATTTCCTTTGTGCGGACCTACCAAAATTGACTGCATTGATAAACTCTAGTCCCCCATCCATTGTCATTTCTGGTCACTAACAGTGTTTTGTTATCTCAATAAAGTATGGGATTAAACTCTTTTATGAATATACTTTTGCACATTGGTGCAAATATATTTTTGGAATACATTTCAAGAAGTGTGAATGTCTAACCAGTTGGGAAATGAGGCAGACCTTCTACATAGACCCTCTACAACAAAGACATGCAAGTCCAAATGAACCATCTGGATGATAATCCTGGAGCCTGGGGGGGTGTACATCAATCACTGTGATCGGTTCCCCCTTTCTCTTCCTCCTCTCCCCACCTTCCCCAGCCCTCTGAACTTTTGTCCTTGGATAAATGTTTTTTTATCTTAAATGGTTGATTACTCTAACGCAGTGGTGAGTTCCGTTCAGACCAGTTTCTAGCCAACCAGTAAACCTGGTTGTTGTTATGCTTCTGAGCTCGGTCCACATTCCCCACCCCACAACACCCCGATCTTCTAATGCAATCCTTTTAGAGCAGTTGGTACTGGTTGCCCGGCAAGACCAAGCTCTCAGAACTTTTCCTACTAAAAGCCTGTAAGACGAAAAACCTGTGTGACAGGAAGCTGAACAGACAATAGTATATACATGGAGCTGACCAAACCCATGGAATTAGCTAAAATGCAAAACGAAATACAATCAGTATGGTACAGAGCAGACAAGAGAGGAAGAGGGCTGATGGAGAGACCTCTATGACTTCCCTACCCCTCGGGTCTCCACTTCTATGTCCAATCAATTCCCAGAATTGAAAGAGCACTTTAAATTCAGATGATTAAAATATATGCATAAAGATTAAATTTCTTCATTTCATCGCCAAACGTTTCTTTGTTTTGACAAAATGACTCTCTATTTCCATTTAGGAGGTGTATTTCGCACAAAACCCTGGTGTGAAATCAGTGAGGTATGGGAACGTTAGTGAACGTGTGGAGTTGAGGAAACGACTGGGCTGCAAGTCCTTCCAGTGGTATTTGGAGAATGTCTTCCCAGAGTTAGAAACAGCTGTGGACAACGCATGAGACAAAAGCACATCATTTTCGTTAATAAAGGTTAAAAAAATAAAATCATAAAATCCCTCCACAGAGTCTGAAGAATCTGATGATGACATGGGCTTTGGTCATTTTGACTAAACCCTCTTTTGTAATATGTTCAAT